AGAACCCCAAACGTGTTTCAGAGATGTTCACTTACATTTCGAAACCTATCACCTGCTGGTTTGCAGGAAGAATCTCCTGAGTTCCAAGGTAGATGAACTAGGTCAGGGAAGCCGTAGTACGCTTATGCTTGTCGCCTACTGAATGTCTTACCTAAGTGAAATTTCTGATGGTTAAGCAAACAGAAGATCAAAGGTGTAGAGATTGTAGCTCGCACCGATGTTTCGCTGCTAGGCGATGGCGAAGTCGCCCGCACGTAAGCTCAGAAGAGGCGATCTATGTAATAAAAGCCAGACTAATGGACTGCCGAGATAGACCTCGGGGAATCAAAACGAAGACTGGGTAACGATGTAAAATATGCTATTGAGGAACAAGGGGTCATTTAATGCTGTGCATAAATATGAACCACTATTTTACTGTGGCGCACCTTCAGTGATTGCTACGCATCTATCTAAATTCATTGGCCGTGCTCATTCGCTGCTGCTTGGAGCACTCCTATCTTGGCTATAACAAAGTTGTGGTTTGTACAAAATACCCCAAACCAATTCTGGATTGTTCATCCGGTTCGCGAAAACGAGGTCCGCTTGTGTCGGCGTCGCCGATTGGCTTACCATCTATGGGGTTTGGTCTGTTCAGCTCCCTTGTTCGATCACCTGCCAATGCACTATGCGTCATCCATTCAGCGTGTCGCGTACTGGCAAATCGCTTGCCTGTGTCCAGAACTAAAACTCCACTTGACGCGCAACACTGCAAAGCAATTCCTCACTTTTCATCCGGCCCGTTTAAACGTGATCAAATTGCGCTGGCGGCGCTGATTGGCATTCAAGTTCACTGACCGCGCGTCGGTTTCACTCGCGTAATCTGCCAGCGACCATCACAGGGGCCACCTGGTCGGTGACCGGCACAACTGAACAAAGAAAAATACGGCGGAATTCGTTGCTGTCGATGTATTGTAGTCTAAAAATGCAATGAGAGGTTGCCAAACAGCTGCTTGAGACAGACGATCGCCTGACCAATTTGGTCACTTGCATCATTGGAGCACCAGGAAGATCGGCGAGTACACCCGATTGGCACTCGAAAACGAGAGTGAGAATAGAAACATATCATCAGTCAAAAACAAAGCACGCGATAGGTGTCATTTGAATATGTGACATGGTCACTTTGTAATGGAGAGGCTAGAAACCGTTCGACTTCAATGACTGTCGGTATGACCAAGGGGTGAGAAATGATGAGGCTCCCCGGTTGTGGCTTGCTATCCTACCGAAACGCATGACGAGATCGCACCAACCATGTCGGTTAAGACATGTAGTGCACGCTTGCTGGTCGCACACCTTGACATTTCTCGCTTACTTGGAATGTGCCTAAAGGTAAGAAACCACAATAAGGCCAAGCGATGACGCATGAAGGAAGAATCAAGGAGCATAACACTTTTCGGGTAGAGGTGAACGCAACCGATGGAATCCGTAACAGGAAAACCTGACAGAGACGAAGCAACCGCCGTGTCATAGCATTACCGTCAGATGCTAGCTGTCCAGTTTGACGTTTCTCCGACGTCAATCGATAAGACCCTTAAAGGAAATAAAAATCACCAAGGTTTACCATCAGGACTTATCGGAGCTCGACGGTTGTTTAAGAAAATGCGTACATTGAACAGCAGATGGATGCAGGAATTTGAAGTAAATGCTCACGTGAGGATACGTGACATCAATAAAAAGGTGTACAGAAAATATCAAACGAGACACGTCCCAGCTATACTTGGACAGCCAGACGGACGTTTCGTTCTTTCGGGAACCACCAGTAGTGTGCATGGCATCTGCATGTGAGAGAGCTAGAACCCGTGAAACCTCAATCACGGGTCAGACCACTGTGCCGCAAGAGATGCCGAGTGACCACTCTAAAATATCAGCGAGTACCCAAGACTACTTGCAATGCCATCGGACAATGGCCGCTCAGGAAGTGAATTTGTGCCCTTGGGGCAAACCAAGTCTTCAAGGTGTTCGAAACGCGCATACCAGTGGAGCGTGAGTGTGGCGCTGTATCACAGTCAGTCATCGGATTGCGGGGGCTGCCACTCAACTCCAGTGGCCAAATGATCTTAACTACTCACCGCTCAAAAAGCAGTTTAAGCCCCTCACCAGAAATGTGTAGTATGAGTGAGTCGCTAAATGACGAAAGGACCAGTTGACACTTTTCTGGGTGTTTGAATGGGTGTAACTTGGACGAGTCCCATTCGAAATATAGAAAATAGTTTGGCGGAACAATCCACGGACAAAAGCTCGGAATATCACTAAAACTCCAAATGCTGGTGGAAATTAGAAAAAGGAAACCCCATAGCCTTTACGAGATCGTAGTTCACTGGGTTCCTCTGACAAGGTTGCATCGAAGACGCGTGTTGAGTTGGTGAGCGGCAACGCAATCCTTCAAATTTGTCAATAGAAGCCTCAAAGCAGCGTAGATGCAACGAAACGGATTAATGTACCGCACCATGCCCGAAGAAAAAGGTGAGTATCAGTTGTGAGCCAGTATACAGTACGGACGCTTATTTGCCACAGTCACGACCAGTTCCGTGTGGGCTGGCAACGGCGGGGTCGTCAGCATCTGTGCAGGCTCAACTCGGTGATCCGTGGATTACTATTCAAGCGTCCGAATCATACGCGATGATAGTGGAACAGAGGACATTGTAGCCCTCACCTGTGACCTTAGGACATTGCTGGAAGAATCAAAGGTATACGAACGACCACACAACTTAGTTGGTAGCCAAGCACTTCGAACAAGAAAATGACAGTTGTTCGACTTCCATCTCGAAAATTGCTTAACAATCAATAGATATGAAAATTGATTTTGACATATGGCCACCAGGATGCCGGTCACCAACAATGGACGGTGTATCGAAGTGGGGTGTCCCCGAAGCAACTCAAATCGTCATGAGATTGGAAAATGAATATGATAAATAAAACAATGAAACGGGAAAATTGAAAAGCGCCAAGATTGTGAACTGAGAAGAGCAAAAGGTGGAAACAAGTTACCGAATGCTACAGCATCATTGGTCACCTGACTGTGCCATGTTGGATACCGCTCCTACATATCGGTGCACCATCCGAACCGTGCCATCGCCAAATGTTGCATTCGAATCCTTAAGTATTCGATGGATGCGCATTGCTGATGATGCCTAAACAGGTTGGAATTGCAGTCCAGTGCTTTACCGGGCATGTGCACGACTATCTGATTTGGAACCTGCTGCAACGAACACTCAAGTAAATGTCATGTCAACGACTAGTCACTTTGAGGCTTCGCCCAACCAGGTGCAACATCAACAGACAACGCGTGCCGAGGTAGAAGGGAGTTAAGTGGCATGGGCAGGAATTCATTACGTCTAAACCTAGTCAAACCACCATCACATACCCGGAAAAGCACTGTATAGCTGTTTCGTCCTTTCTGGAATCGCCAACAGTGCACAATCCATCGGGCCACTGTGGGGTTATAATCCGCAACCCGACTGTTACCAGTATGTGGTGAAGACCACTTGGCTATGAAGAAGGTGACTCGAATGCAAGGGACTATCCAATGCAGTATCAGAGGGTTCCTCGGTAAACATCAAGTAGCGAGTCTCCGTATTACTCAACCAATGCCACAACCGGATATATGCGATTAATGTGGGCCAACCGACGCTGACGGTTCGGATTGCAAGAAAAATCTGTGAGATCAAGTTATTTTGTCAAGCAAAATGGGTAACATCAGAAGTGCTCAATGGACCCCATCAAAAGAAGAAGACAATGCTTGACAAGTGCTGATGGTGCATGACGACTGCCCCAATAGGTGGTCACTGTGCCTCTGTGAAGAAGGAGAAGCCTCTATGATGGATGTAAAGTTTCCCCTACTGACTTGTAAAGCAGGTTGATCGAGTCCCTACACATCTCCGCGTACTTCTGAGACATCGTCATCACTGTACACGCTACCTAGAGGTGGAAAACACCTCAGCTACTGTGCCGCAATATATAAGAAAAAAAATGTAACAGAGGAACGTCAGCTGAGTCACTAGTAACGGACGGGTATCGTTCCGGAAAGTTACCAGCCGGCTACTGTGCCGTGTCAGAAATGAGATTGTGGTTGGAAGGGGAGGATAAGCGGGAAGGGGAGGGATAAAAAACTCACAACACATACGCCACTGAAGTCAGGTTCTACCCAAGTCAACAAGTGTATCCAGCCAAACGCGTTCATGTCTTTGGGACGCCAAACAGGAAGCCGAGAAGCTCCAAGCAAGACCAACGTCGGAGTAAGGGCCTTCGTTCCCCTTGACCAAGTCATCGCTTGGTCACCTCTGCTCTTCTTCCATCCACATCCCCGCCGCACAAACAACGCAGGTAGCGGAAGTCAGCGTGTTGGCATGCGCAACACGAGGCTCAGCCATCGGAGCTTGGTGCATGAAATAACGGTGCTGAGCGGTTCACCCTCTTTTTCTGTGCCATAAACAAGGCGTCGAACACACTCATTGCTCACACGGTGTTCCCACCAAATAGGAGTCGACAGAATTTTATTTTTGAAGTAGGCGGTAAGTTCCGAAGCATCAGAACTGAAGTAAGATGAGAGGTGGAGAGAGCCAAATCACCAACAGCATAGTTGTTACAGTAAAACTTCCGTAAGTTGACCACTAAACGGACTGGAGAGGTGGTCAATGTACAGCGGTCTGCGTCCATAAGATTTACATGATGAACGATCGAGCAATGAAAAAACCGGATAAGCTGAGTTGCCATGGCGAGAGAAAGCGTGGCCGAAAGGTATGCGGCAACTTGAAATCGAATAATCTGAAAAATGATGAGATTTTCGACGAAATTTACAACAAAACTCCAAAATCCCTACAATAAGGAAAACAAAGATAAATGAATCACATTAGAATATGAGGAGGTTAGCAGTTCCATTGATTTGTCTCTAGCTAAGCGCCATCAGTGCTTTGCAAGCATCACAGGGACTGAGGTAGAACAATCGTCAAGGTATGCGCACTAACCTCGTATGGAAGTTGATATCCTTCGGGAACAAACAAACCAAAGGCCCAAGACCGCCGGGTTATTTCCCAAAATATTAGACCAAGGCTGTATATGTCAGCCTGCTTGTAGGCCTCCGGAGATGTTTGTCGGATGGTGTTGTCCAACACCTCAGGAGCCATATAGCGCTTCGTCCCCACTCGATCGGAATGCGTTGACAAATCAGCTGTCGCTAGGCTGGAGTCCAGCTTCAACGCAAAGCCAAGGTCACCGATGCAACATTCCCCGTCTGTTTTTACCAGGATATTTCTAGACTTCAAGTCACGATGAGCGATCGGAGGCTTGCCCTAGAAGCGAAAAAGGAAGAAATGATAAAAAAATCTAACCACTCGTCAATCAGCAAGTCAGTCTAATAGCAGTTGTCCGAAAAGCCGTGTGGGCGTGTGAGAAACTAGGGGAACCGGTGATACTCTGTAATGGCGATACAAACAATAGTACTACCTGAGTCCCAGTGATCTCCATATGCAAATGTGCCAACCCGTTCGCTATGGAAGCCACAGCCCGTATCAAGGCAGACGGTAGAAAACAGTGTTCGTGTAGAAATCCAAACAGCGAACCCAGTGGATGATACTCTGTGATGAGCCACAATTCAGTTGACAGGCCGTTATCTTTGTTGTCTGCAGCGATGAACCCGAGGATATTCGCGTGGCGGAGCATAACAGTTTGGTAAATTTCAGTTTCTCTAGATAAAAAACGGAATAGATGTGGAACAAAGGCGGTGACAACAATCGGTGGGATGGAGAATGAGATATTCGGTTGTAACAGGCACTGGTGTTCATGAGCATGGTTAATAGTTAACAGGACTATCAAAATTCAAAAGAACCAGTAATGTGAAGCTATATGGCAAGTAAATTGAACCAAGATGACATTGTCCTGTTCCGATAAGAGGTCCGATTGTCTGATTCCTTGTGCTGTCTGCGAAATATGGATGCGTCCAATCCACCGCACCTTCGTTTCTCCCCTGCACTGAATTTAGGCCCGGAGTTCCCGATTGCATTGAGCACCTAGTGTACTCCCTAGCGCGTGGGATTCGCTTACACATCACCCATGAGTTCTGCTCGAAGTCTCGGTGTCTAGAGGCGAAGACAGGAGGAAATCTCTTGACTGACGCGACAACTGATGGACAAATAACATGGCGGATAGTGGGAAGCCTGACCCATCCATTTGCCAAGCGATACACTGGGAATGAGTTCGAACAGGAAGAGCACTACCTAATACTATCTGTCTAAGCCTGAGCAATCAGCGACCGCCTCAACTGAAATATCCAGATTGTGCGGTAACACCTGTTGGGATAGGAAAGGTTGAGTCCATTTTCCTTATCGGTGCACAGGGTCACTAACTTCCCTCCATATAAATCATTTTCACCAAGAGAATTAACAACATTCAACAATGAACAGGTGTCCACGACGATGGGTTTAAGGTGCTCATAGCAGACAGCTCTGGATTGAGCGGAGTGAGCCGTAAAGCATCTGATGGTGTGAGTCAAGTAAATCGAGGGAGGGCAAAAGAACGGAAAGATTATATGCGCGAATAAGCAAAGAGACTAACGGAAGATATGAGGTCCTTGGACTGCGCGCTAAAACCCAAACCACTCACGTATCGATTCATTCCGCTATACATAAACGTACTGATAGTGCCACCACGATGGAAAACGAGACGTTTTCAGCAAAATTGTCAAGGCCGTTGAACAGTTCAACCAGTAAACGCGAGTTCTCGTGTAACAGTATAAAATAGCCCAACGAGTCGAATAGGCGGAAGTCATAGGTTGAGTATGAAAAAGCATCAGTATTCTGCATGTGAAAAAATAGCCATGTGCAGGATGAAATGGGACGTATTCATAGGTACCGTCTTAAGACTTTAAACAAAAATCTCTGGATACATTGAAGAATCGGGGTGAGAAAAGCACCGTGTGCAAATCGAGACCGATGAAGCAAGTGATTCGGTAGAGGATAACCAACAGTGTACTATTGCTTGTCAATAGTAAATGACCTGAACGACTAACCACTAGCTTAATAATTGTGCCCGTATGTGTGAACCAGAAGTGCCGCAGCCATTGAAGTAGTAAACGCCGGCACACATCAGTTCGTCTGTGGTAGCAATCATCGAGATCTATCTGTTTGTTCGGAAAGTAATTTCGTTTTTTCCAAACGTAAGATTTGATTGTATATTTTCACAGTCAAGTTCACATTTAAGCCGCATTTTTATATTCTGACAGTTGATATAGCAAGGCTTGCTTGTGAAAAAGTATCATTTTCGGCATATTGTACATTTTTACTATTGAAAGGGTAGAAATGCATTACAAGCAAGAAAAAATTATCCGATGTAGAGAACGCCAGTGCCAAAACTGGTCTGCAAAATTTCGATCCGGCATTAAATAATTAATTAATTGCATTAATTTATCGCAGCAATTATTTGACTAATTTGCATTAATTGATGTAAACCAAAGAATAACAGCTCGCGAGATCAGAGAGATCAAATTTATCGAATTGCACCGTTCATGCACATTGGAAACGCTTAGGTTACATCTCATATCTCAACATATGGGTTTTTCATGTTCTTACGGAAAGAAATTTGTGCCGTCGTGTCGATGTCTGTGATTTACTTCTCAAGCGTCAACAAGGATCCATTTTTGAAGCGCACCATCACTGGGGACGATAAATGTGTTGTCTACAACAATGTTAAACGCAAGAGATCATGAAACAAAAAAGATACACCGGCTCAAACCACTTCGAAAGCCGACATTCAACAAAAAGTGATGTTATCTGTTTGGTAGGAGTACAAAGGGAGCGTTTTGCTGAGCTTCTACCAGACAACATAACGATCAATTCTGAAGTGTACTGTCATCAGCTGGAATGATTCACTTAAACAGAAAAGGCCAGAATTGATCAATAGCAAGGGTGCTGTGTCCCACCAAGACAATGCGAAACCTCATGCAAGCCTGGTAACTCGCCAAAATCTTTTACAGCTTGGATGGGATACACTGCCACACCCACCACAGTCTCCAGATCTGGCACCTGATTATTATTTGTTCCCGTCTCTACACAATTTTTACACGGTAAAACATTTACTTCAAATGAGGTCAAAAATTACCTGCGTTTGTTTTTGCTATCAAAGGAAAATAATTTTATGAGCGTGAAATCATGCTACTGCCAGAAAGATGGCAAAAGGTATTGGATCAGAATGGAGAATATATAAGTTAGTAAAAGATTCATTCAGTATAAGAAAATAGTTTTCATTGTCATCGAAAAATATGAAATTACTTTCCAAACAACTAGATATCGCTCTTTGAAAATAGAAACAAAAACATGTAAAAATGAAATGTAAAAAATACAAGGTGAAATTGGTCAAAACGGCTCTATAGTTGTCGGACGGAAATGTGAATACTAACCAGTGATAGATAAGTCGTCATTCGTCGCGACGAGACTGGATGTTAACGCGGTGGGAAGAGCTGCGGAACACTATGACCAGTGAGCTACAATAAGCGGCGCCAGTGGACCCTGTGAGAGCTACTCCAACTGTATTAGTCACACTAATTCAATATCCTAGAATTCTAAGTATGGGGTTGGAAGCAGAGTGGTACCCTGTTCTGTAAGATCGGATGGTTGACATCTTCCCGCTGCCTTGCTATTAGGCCTTGGAATCGAAGGCTTTGGTTAAAGACACTCATCGGCATCACAATTACTAGTGACTAGAAAGATTACTAGGTGCGAAAAGAAACGGAGCATCCATTCCGACAACGAAACTTGATGGACACAAAGCATTCAGCAAATGGAAGAAGTGAAAAGGGTGGTTAATTACTGCAGACTTCCAGCTGATTCGCAGCACCAGTCCTGAGAACTGAAGGAGAAGGCATCAGCACTAAGCCGATACGCAGTACAGACGCTTCGCTGTCGCGCAATCACCAATAGTCGCACGTGGGCCAAGGATCCTGCGAGGATCGCACGGTCCCTAGGCGCCCTCAGATTAGGGACCGTGAGAAGTGAGACAATCAGGGACATCAGCAGTTTCTTAAGTCATAGCAGGTAACGCGGTCTGCCTCTTAAGAAAAACGTCTTATGGTGAAGTTCGGTTAGTCGGCCGTTTCTAAACCTTCTCCTGCTCAAATGGCGCGATATGAACCGAGGCAAGTAAGGCTAGAGGTGCTAGTCGAGGCTGCGACTCAAAAAGTGAACAAGGTCCTCAATTGTTCTTGCGCTGCTGTTCCAGCGCTATTAAAATACGGCGCCGAAATCCTCTGCGAAGTATCAAACCATCAATTCGAACAGATGTGGAACGGTGGGACAGTTTTACTTAGCTGCGGTAGATCGATCATGGTTGTAGCACACACAAAAGTAAATCGCAACATTTGTCGACCGCAGATATATCAGTTAAATGCTGGTACTGACCACAATTCTTGTCTGTCGACTTAATGTGAAGCGAGAAACTAGGATGATGGGTCTGCTTCCGTCAAGGGCAGGGATGTAAAGACCATGTCTGCCCTCAGAGAGAGGTTTTACAGCAGCGTCACACGAGAGACAGACTGACCAAAACTGCATTTCTAGAATTCAAGAGTGCGTACGACTCAGTCGATTGCTTCTAGCTGGTTCACACATATATTGGGAAGCGTGTTCCCATCACTGGTGTGTCTCGTGTATGCCCGAGAATATATTAGTTAATTATTTATTTACCAAATGGGTGAACACAAACACCACGGTAGTGTTAGGGTGTACAGTAGATAGTCACAAAGCTGGAAGTGGTGGATCGCCCACCTGCCTTGGTAGCCGTGTCACCTATGGTAGACTATATCACTGAATATGTTACTTCGCGCATCAGCAAAACCCGTGTGCGCTTTCAGAGACTAAATCGTCCATGGAGGCAGTGGGATAGCAGACTGTCAATGAAAGGTGGAGCGCATAACGTTGCGAGAAGACCGGTCTCAGTGATCGCAGTGACCGAGGTTCACTTCAATGTGAATCGCGGTCCACATTGAGGTTGCGCGTCGCAATCCAATCACACAACGCGTAATCCAAAATGACCCTCAAACTGGCACTTATGTATTCATCGCGACGACACTGGACCTAAACGTGGTGTGATGGCTTGCTTGCCCTATAATCCATTGAGCTATGCTGGGTGGTGCTTCTTGCTCCTTCAGTCATGCCAGATTAGTCAATGGTTAGAGGCCAGACAAATTCAGTCTCTTGGCCCTCCACATTGGGGGTTGGAGTGGGAGCGGCTCCTTACTCCGTAAAACAGACTCTCGGTAGTAAAGCGCCAAAACCCCCGTTGCCTCGTGGTCAGGCGTTTTTGAACCATCAGCTTTGGCTGAGTACCTTAATCGTTCTCCTGTCTATGCCTGAGCAACCTGATACAAGCATGCCAATGCAATGCAATGAATAACTTCTCAACAATTTCTTAATGCTTGGATGGTCGCGCAGGACAATCAACGGCGCACTATATACTGCATCGAGCAGTCTTCAGCCCCCCAATTCTTGGCCACCTCCATCTTGCTTCAATAGGCGTTTATCTCCCGATTTCAACTCACATGCAATCGCAGGGCGTCAATCCCATTTAGTCGGAAAGTCCATGAACAACCAAGCGGACAACATCAATAACTACGCTCCTACTTAGAACTTTCGAAGCTCCCTAAGACTGGCATGCCTCAAAGTGAGCACTTGTTACAGAGTGGCCAGCACGCAGAACTAC